GATTCGAACCCGCCACCTTAGGTGTATGTGGCTGGCGCCTTAGCCGCTTTAGCCACAGGTGCCGAGCCTCTTTTTTTTTTTTTAAGAGACTCTTACTTTGTCACCCTTGGTAGAGTGCTGTGGCATCACAGCTCATAGCAACCCTCAACTCCTAGGCTTAGGCAATTCTCTTGCCTCAGCCTCCTGAGTGTCTTACTTTTTTAAATAATGCTTTTCTTTCTTTTTATTTATTATTATTTTTCTTGTACAAGACAGCCTTGGTCTGTTGCTGGAATGCAGTGGTGTGATCATAGCTTACCACAGCCTCAAACTCCTAGGCTCTAGTGATCCTTTTGCCTTAGTACTGGGATCACAGGTATGAGCTACTGTGCCTGGCAAGAATACTTATCTAGGCTGGTAGCTCACGCTTGTAATCTTAGCATGGCTGGGAGGCCAAGGCAGGTGGATTGCCTGAGCTCAGGAGTTTGAGACCAAGCCTGAGCTACAGCAAAACCCCATCTCTAAAAAATAACCTGGCATTGGACGACATCTGTGGCTCAAAGGAGTAGGGCACCGGCCCCATATGCCAGAGGTGGCGGGTTCAAACCCAGTCCCAGCCAACTGCAAAAATAACCTGGCATTGTGGCAGGTTCCTGTAGTCTCAGCTACTTGGGAGGCTAAGACAAGAGGATTGCTTGAGCCCAGGAGTTTGAGGTTGTTTGTGAGCTATGACACCATGGCACTCTATCCAGGGTGAAAAAATAAAATAAAAGAATGGGGGGAGGACACATTCAGACCACAGTAGCTGCTTACCTGTTTTTCTTGTGAGAGTGTAGAATTTTGGTATGTATTAGGCCAAGGGTATCTGTATGACCAGCCCCCAGTAAAATACATCGGCACTGAGTCTCTAATGAGCTTCCTGGTAGACTACATTTCACAGGTGGTGTTGTAACTTACTGCTGGGGTATTAAGAGCTCATCCTGTGTTACTCCACCAGGAGAAGAAGACCCTTGATAGCTTGCACCTGGCTTCCTTCAGATTTTGACTTTACTCCATGTGCTGTTTCTCTTTGCTGATACTGTTTTGTATCCTTTCCCTCCAATAAGACAGATATCATAAGCATGATTATATGCTGAGTCCTGAGTCCTCCTATTGATTCTGAGAGTTGTTCTGAGGATACAGTAGGTGTTCAAAGTGGGATTCACTAGAATGACTCTGACTTAGTGAAATGTGGCCAAAGCATTGTTTGGGAAAAGGAAGCATGAAGGGATAGGGTATGACCAACCTTTGGTGCCTGGGTAGCCATGGAACCATCTATGGTAGAATAAAGCAGCTGGAACTGCTATCTATTGTGAGGGCTGAAAGTTACCAATGGACTCTGAAAATGATCACTCTGACTCCAGCAGAGTTGGCTCACTGGAATCCCTAGCCACTTTTAGCTTTTCTGGCTAAAATGGGGGTAGGGAGTGAGGAATGTAGTCCAGATGATGCCTTTGGTAATTATTCTCTCCTTTAGATGGGGGGAAACAGTTAAATCAGTGCCTAGGGCTTGAGCAAAATTTTAGAGAAACTAAAGGGGGAAAAACACTAGGCCAAGGGTGTCTAGATGACCAGCCCCCAGTATAACTCATGAGCACTGAGGTAACTCTCAGATTGGATAGGAAAACTCACAGGACTCAGCATGTAATTATATCCGTGCTATTTGTCTTTTCACAGTGAAAGGATACAAAAGCCAGATGGGCACCTGTGGCTCAAGTGGCTGGGGCACCGGCCACATACACCTAAGGTGACAGGTTCGAATCCAGCTTGGGCCCGCCAAAACAACAAAGACGGCTGCAACCAAAAAAAAAAATAGCCGGATGTTGTGGTGGGCGCCTGTGGTCCCAGCTGCTTGGGAGGCTGAGGCAGGAGACTCGCTTGAGCCCAGGAGTTGGAGGTTGCTGTGAGCTGTGATGC